ATGTTCTTATTTTACTATTATTATTATTATTATTATTATTATTATTATTAATATTATAATTATTATAGTATTCGAGGTTCTAATCGTTCACGATAAATGATTTCATTTTTTCCATTTATTTTCTTAGTTTTGTAATTAAATATTTACTTTTATTTAAAAAAAATTTCTTAAATCTCGTGTTTAATCTTTCAAAAATTGTGCGCTATTTAATTAAATCAATAAAATCGTTTCTCTTTAATAATACTAATCGATGTTTGAGAAACTAATGTCAAAATGCAACAATTGTTCGCATTCGTTTACGTTGTCTTTTTCAATATTTCGCGTGTTAACATTTATATTAAATATTATTTATATTTTTTTTTTTTTTTGGTATCTCTTCAGGAAATGGCACGTGTCACGTTGAAATTGTTGCATAGTAGTAGTATTATTTTCTTAAAGGCAATTTATCTTTCGATATATATATATATAGATATAAATATTTATATCGCAATATTTAATTAACGCGTTGTTTATCGACAAAATTTATGCACTTATGCAGATACATAAAAAAACTATCGTCTTCTATTCGTTCGTTCGGTTTTTTTTCTTCTTCTTCTTCTTCTTCTTCACAAATTTGCTATACAAGAGAGATCGTTTTTTAATCGTTAATAAATCGTTTCGGTTGAATCGAAAAAAAAAAAAGAAACAAAAGCGGAAATCAACGGATCGAATAGTTTTGAGCCTAACATAAAAACAATTTTTTATTTTCTTTTTATTCTCGATCGAACTAATATATCTATTTAAAAAAAAAAAACAAAAAAATAAAGGTTTCTTTGTTGAGGCTCAAAACTTTTCAAACCCTTCCATCCACGTATATGCAATTTTAAAACAACGTTTCTATAAACGCGACGACGACAACGACAACAATAAAATACGAAATTTGATAAATTAGAATTACATGGAATTAATATTATTCGTTTATGCCATAATTCAAATCTTCTCAAACTTTTTTCACTTGGTAACTACACCCCCATGTTACCCAAGCAAATATTTTTAAATCCCATATCATATGAGTCACACGTCACATTTTTTGAGAAGCCTTGTTATATAATCAATGTTAATTAAAATAATACTATCCCCGACGTACGTATTAATAATAAACAAATATTAACATATGTATGTGTATATATATATATCTTTTTGTTTTTTCTTTTTTTTCAGTTTTTTTTTTTTTTTAATAGCGAAAAGCATCATACATTGCACGCCTATCACGAGCACACACAGACAGACACGCATACATACACGTTACTTCGTCGTCGGGTGTGAAAAATGTTTATAAATAAATAAATAACAATTTGCTTTTAACTTCTAACACACATAGGAATAACGTATATGTGTGTACAATCAATTTAAAAAATGAATAATTTGTTTAAGAAAACATTAAAACTCGTTTTTCGTTATTGTTTAAAACTAATGTGATTTCACATACATCCTTCAATCAATTTTTCTTTTGTTTAATAGAAATTACTTTCAAATATATATTATATTTTATGCTAATATAATCCACAATGCATAATGACGATAAGCATAATTATAGTTAAATCGCAATCAAAAATTTTATTGCGATTGTTGATAAAGAAAATGATTGA